TGGCATGCCGACATTGTCATCTGGCATAAAGCATAACATGTTTGTACATAGTCACAGAGCTACTAGCATGACTGTATAGACTCCTGCTGCAATTGGGTGAACTGACCCTTTAAGAGGCTGATGTGAGTTATTTGCAAAATGCTTTGTGTTGGGTCCCTGTTTCATGGAGAGCAAAAACAAATAAAATGGCAGCATTGCCATATTAAGCCCTCACTGAACCCCCCCACTGTGTAACTCCATCATGTGCTGGATCAGATACAGTATATGGAAGTATCTTAGAAGTTTTAGAGAGGATGACCATATAGGTAGCTCTGTAGTAACACATTTTATATTTACGGATGTGTTCTGTGTATTGTCCTCAGTTCACTGTTCGACTTTGGGGACAAGCTCGACTACCTGACATCCAGCCAGCCAAACAACATGCACTCCTACCAGCTTCAGACCTCCTACCCCAACAGCCAGCCCCAGCACCAATCTCAAATGTCTCTTCCCCGCATGACCTTCCTTACCCCCTCCCCCTACCTCACTCCTAGCCCTTCGGATTCCAGCCTTGCATCCTACCTAAGCTTTGGACCTGGAGGAAACTCCACAGGGGTGGAGACTTACTCCACCGGAGGCCATGCCTACTTCCAGTCCCAAAGTGCTGGGCAAATCCTGCTGGTAATCATGGTGAGTCACTTTGATCAGATGTGATTGGATTTATTTATGGTGCAAAACAGAGGTAACAAAAAATAGGATGTAAACTCGGACAAACACAATCTAACACCAGTACAGTATCATAAATGCAATGCTTATTTATAAATATATTCCAATTAAAAGTAAAGTTTTATTAACAACCTGTCATCTTTCTCTACAAATGAAGCTCTGAAGGCACCTCTAAAAGTCACTTGTATGGGGGCATCTGGCTTCATTATTTAGATTAATAAACAGCAGCACTGGCTGTCATGTTATTGGGAGCAAGAGTTGTAGACTTCATTTCAGTTTTCTTTAATGTTACTGAACATGGAGGCCTTGGGAACAATTTAATAGTACTTCATCTTAAGTAATTATTTTTACTGAGAAATTGTTTGGGTTTTTTTTTTTGTTTTTTTTTTGCCAGTTTGCGCTGCCAAAGTTTTATTTCAGTGCTACTCATGAGCCTTAACTGCTTGAGTTACATTGGGAAAGAAGCCAATCAGAGGTGCAAATAAAATATAAAAACAAACAAAATACTGCACAGTTAATCCAAAATTGACCTGGAATTTGGAAGGGAACTGATTTAAACACAGGCTGAATATTAAGGAACTAGATATTTTCTTGTGGAGCTGTCAGGTTAGGCTGTGGGGAGAGGCTGCTCAACTGATGCCCAGGGCATCAGTGGGAGATGAGTGGTAAGCAGAGAAAGAAGGGTCATGGGGAGCCACAGAAAACGAGAACAAACAGGACTGGAGGACAGGTGAGCATAGGTGTACAACAGGAACAGAAGTGTTTGAGGGGAGGTCCTGTTTCTGATCCTTGGCTAAATTATCTGCAATAAAGCTCAATTGTCTGTTTGGATCTGTGTGCAGGGGGGATTGCAGTGTACCAGTCTTGCCCATGGGGTAACATGTACAGTCAGCAAACCATGCACCAGCGTAGTCAGTGCCCTCCAACTTACCCTGCCAGCATGGGGGCTGCTCGAGACCACCAGCCACCCTCCTCCACCTCCACCGTGCTTGCCCCTTCGTTCTTCCCCCTCGGGGACCATGGGCCCTCACATGCAAACCAGCGCTCATCACACACCCAGACACAAAGCACCCCCAGCAGCAGCACCACCACCACCACCACCATCCTCCCACCTGTGTCCAGCCTGCGGCCCTCACACCTCAGAGCAGAGAGCACTCTGGCCAAGGGTGCATCCCTGTTACCTTCTCAGGTCAGTGCTGCCTCTCCAGAAAGTTCTCCAGTGCCCCCTTGTGTCAAGATAGAGTATGACAGTCCCCAAGAAGTTCACAGCCACTTCCATTGCGACTTCTCCCCCATACATTTCTGACTGTGTGTGTGTGCGCGTGCGTGCTTGTGCTTGTATGACTAAATATGTATGGATGCTTTTGTAAATTCTAAATTGTGTTATTGTTAAAATGTTCTCAGAATTAATATTATTGTCAGCAGACTTGTTCAGGTTGCATTTAACTGGGCTGCAATAAATACTTGTTGTTCTGTTCATCTTTTTTTCCTGCATTTATTTTGCTTTGTTTGACTCCAGTGTCCTGACTGTTTTTGTTTCGTGGACTATTTTGATTGAATTTTGTTGCGCACCAGAAGTGTGGTGGGGGGGATAATGTAATAGTTCTCCACACTCCACTAGAACATGCGCATTTATTAATCATGAACATTTTGATTCAGGTGTGATCACCTCCAGTACACGACTAAGCCCCAAATTAGAGAATGAGAGTGAGATAAATTCAGGTGCAAAAGAGAGCTCATACTTTACGCTCTCCTCTTTAGCATTTAAGTAGTAATAAGCATTTAATAAATGCTTTACAACACAGGATAATGTTTTGAGCAGATGTTTATTTAGGCATCCACAATTAGAGGCTGGTGTAAAGATGGATAGTGAGGAATATGATGTATGCCAGTCACTGATAAAACCAAAATCCTTAATTTGCATTGCCATCTGCTGTGTGTTCACACACTTACTGTGCTTTCTCCTCCCTTTATTCTTAGTATGCAGTGCACTTGCAGAGGCTAGTGGTAACCACAACCCTCTGTGAAACTCCGCCTCTGAAAGAGCTGAAGGCGTTTTCCTGAGACTAGAAATGACATTGGGGACCAGTGTGTCATTTTTGCTCTCAGTAGTCAAAGCAAAAAAGTCTTTGTTTCAACTCTCGTTAACATTCCTGGGTTGTAGTCCTGCAGTTTGTAAAGAAAAGTTTGAAGTAAAGCTTGGATGTGGGAGTAAGAGAAGCAAGTGTTTGATGAGAGTGAGGAGGAGGTGGCAGGGACCAGGGGAGCAGATAAAGGAGGGGATGAGACAGAGGAGCGAGACAGCATGTTGGTATGGGAACAAGGGAGGAGAGCTGAGATGGGCTGTTGCTAAGGGAGGAGGAGAGGATGATGTGTGGGCTCTACCAGCAGGCGTGGGAGGGAGAAGAAGATGGGGATGAAGGAGGAGTGTGTTTGCAGCACGGGGGTTCTGGGATGAACAGAACTGTTGGTTATGCAACTGCAGTATTTGGGTTTTTAATGAACCTCTTCCTGCTCAGTGGCTACCGAGCTGTTACTGTTGGCAGAAGGAGTGCAGCATAAACACGCAGAAATACACACTCATGAACTTCATTCGCAGTGCGGAAATGTCTCAAAATCTCTTGCATAAAGAAAGACACACACCACATTCATCCCAGAAATGAAACATAAGACTTAGCACTTTATTGCCACACAGCACAGTCAATATATTAGTTTTATATAGTGTACAGGTAAAGTCTGTCGCTCAGTGCAAGTGTTGTAGTGCTTGTGTGTGTAGTTTCAGATTTCTTATCATCATGTGGCAGTGAGCTTTGCATGTGTGGCTTTCATGTGAATTTAAGTTGGTAATAAATTTTTCCAGTGTGAACAGAGAGTGCTCAGAGCACAGCTGGATGACACAGTGTGTGTGCGCATAAGTGAGTGTGTGTAAGTACAGGTATGGGATGCTTCAGTTCACCCCAGTCCCACCGTGTCAATATTTACATAGTATTCTGAGATGTGAAGAAAGGGAACCTGTTTCAGTATTTATGGATATGGTGAAACGGTCTTTCCAATCTTCATGACAGTATGTATGCACACACATGCAGACAGAGAAAAAAGTGAAAGGAAAACTTGTACTGCTTGGATTCAGCCAAGTAATGGAGTTTATTGATATTAGTGGATGAGGTTTGTTGATATAGGTGATTGAAAGTAATAATGTTGTTTGTAGAACAAAGCTGAGGCACGGTTTGGAGATCCTCCAGTCCACCGGCTGGCTGGTCCAAACAGCATTAGAGTGTTGATTTTTAGTTTGTTTTGAGAAAATATAACAAATAAACTTGTGTTGGGAACATGAGGGAGGGTGGCTGGGGAAAACAGCTTTGGATAAATATTAGGTTTACCTATTCAAATGTTTCAAAATGAAGACAAATACTGAAAGCTCCCGATTTGACAGATCAAATATTGCACCTAGTAAATATCATAAATGCATTCTCTGAAAGTGGTTTTATTTGAATGTGTTCTTGTATAAAAATGCCTAATGAAATGCAGTGTGGCTACAGAATCTGTTTTAGACATTTCTATTTGCTCTAGGCCTATGTCTGGGAGTACTGTTGTGGCAAATATTCTCTAAACTGAGAGTCGGGCTGTTGGCAGTGAAAGAGGACCTAACAGGAACGTTACCTTTTTCAGTAAAAAAGCGAATATGCCACATCTTTATATAGTCACGGTCCGATAATGCACCACTTCTCTCAGAAAATCATTGCCATCATAAATTCTTTGGTATGCTCATGTTTATTCATTTTGTTTGCTTTAGAGCAATGCAAAAAAGCCAAATCTGCTATTTTATTTATTGTTTGGTTTACAGTGTCAGAAAATAGTAAAACATTTTAAAAAGTGCTTGATAATTTCCCAGAGCAGTCTTGAAATATCTTTTTTCTCCAACCACAAATCTTAGTCTAAAGCTATTAAATTTACTATAATCAAAGAATAAAATCAAAGAGTAAATGTATAAACAGCAACAGTGAACAGTACATTTTGTGTATTTTTGCTTAACAATGGACAGCACTGTTGATGAAAGTTGTTGCTGAATTTCTTGTTTGGCTAAAAGAAGAAGAAGAAGAAGAAGAAGCTTTATTTTATTGTCATTGTAACATTTTGACACGTACAACAAAATTTTGTTTGGAGTTGAGGGGGCTCGGGCCGCTGCGTACATACGCACTGCCATCACGCCATGAAAGTTTAATTGGGCACTTGTTGGGCTCTAGATGAATCATAAAAGTCATAAAAAATTGTGAAGTAGTTCTCAAATGCCGATGGATGTAGGTAAGGCTCATCTAGCTACCTGCTTATGATTGTGTTTATCCTGCCTGCTGAGCCGACCGGGTTACGTAACTTGTGTGTGCACTTGCACTGTACGTACAGATGTGTCCATGTGTGTGTCGTGTCTTCTCTTATACAGCCCATTCCCGGAGATGACATGCTCCTTCATCCCAACCCATCATCACAGTAACACACTGTTGATTTTGCAGTTTGTTCAGGTCAGTATATAATCTGTCTGGCTTGTTACTGTACAGTCCGAACCTCAACTCCTTGTCCCCTCCCAGACTACCCCCTGAATTGCAGCTTGTTCAGGTTTTGTGTGTGTGTGAGGAGGAGGAAAAGGGATGTGGAAGAATGCAGGGTTGGGTCAGGTGGAGTGGAATATTGTATCAGAGGGAAAAGAGGGGTCTCTGTTTAGTGTGTATATGTGCTCTATAGAGAGATTAAAGATGTATACGTGAGCTTTTTGAAGAAAGTGTATTTACTCCACTGGGGCCCGCTGCCTTCCTGACAGTGGAGAGGAGGGTAATGGAGAAATAGGTAGGAAGAAGGGTTAAGGTGAAAGAGAAACATGTTTTTATCTGATTGCAATCAAGGAATCTGTGTGATCTATTATGTGGTGAACTTAAAATCTTGATTTTAAAGTTGAGCCTGAAGCTATAAAAATCTGTGAAGTAAAAAGGATGAGAGAAAATATGAAGGAGAATGAATGAAAATGACAAAGCAAGTGATGGAAAAACCAAACATAATTCAGGAGTGCTGAATTGAGCTGGATGTGTGAAACCAGGAATTGATTTGTATAATTCAAGTTATACAAAAATGGATAGTTATGTAAAAAAAAAAAATGCACACACATCCCAACGTGCAGAGCAGCAGGAACACTGTAGGCTGTGTATGGTGGCTCCCCTTCACTTCCGCTCCATAAATGTGTTTTTGCTATATGATGGAACACAGGGAGAAAGGAGGAATTCATGTTGGTGTTTGTTTGAGCTTTGGCCAAATCCAACCTGGGGCAGCTGCACTGGCGCGCACTCTGCACCGAACCCCAGCCGCTCCTGTACCCCCGACCAGTCACACACACACTGTACAGGCACTCAAGTGCACACAACACTTTTTTTCACACACACACATACCTGTACATCCTAGCCATATCAAGGTGTGTTTGTTTTTCCTTGCCCACCGTTTTAGGCCCTCCCGAAGCAGGTATTTCCCTTACTTACCACAGATGCGCACGAATACACAGGAGCTACAGAGGGGGGCAGTCTGTGGGCCAAGTGTGAAGCAGTTGCATTGATAATCTGCAGCTCAGAGTCACTCAGTCTCACTTTGTGGCTGTACCCCTCACCTGGAACTCCTTTTGCCCTGCTCTGTCTCCTTTCTGGCTTCTCACTCTAGAGCTGTGCAGACACGCTCGGACCCCTGCATTTAGTCATCAGCCCTCTGTCACTGTCACCATGATGCTTAGCCCGTCGTTGTTCCTGCTGCTACTTGGCCTCATAGGAGCTCAAGCTGCTGTGGACTCCCGCAGGGCTGCTGCAATGGGTAAGAATAATGACCTTTAACCCCCAAAATAAGTAACATCTGTTTGTTTGTTTTTTTACTCATCTTCAGAAAACTTTGTGAAAAATGCTGAAGTGGTCTCTGGTCTGAACAGATCAAGAATATTCCTCTAAAAATGTATTTGTCTGAAGAATCCAAAATCTAAATTCTTGTCTGAGTTTAGACTTTTTATGATGTCAACTAGTTGCATTGGCATGTTTTTCACTGTAGCATGGAATAAACACACAGAGGCAAGAGGACTAAAGGAGATTAATACAAAAATGTGAACTTTTATTTATTTTAATTCATCCTGTGTGATATGTTTGCTTTATGTTGTTTCAATGTTGATTATTAACACAAAGTTCAAATTCAAATTTTATTTGTATAGTGCCAAATCACAACAAAAGTCATCTCAGTACTATAAAGTAAGGCCTAGACCTTACTATTATTATTATTATAGAGGAAAACCCAACAAATCCCCCTTGAGCAAGCACTTGGCAACAGTGGAGAGGAAAAACTCCCTTTAACGGAAGAAACCTCTGACAGACCCCGGCTCTTGGTGGGCGGCCTTCTGCCTTGACCGGTTGGGGTGAGTGCATAGAGGAGAGACAAAAGAAGAAAAGCAACAAGACAAAACAAACAATCAAACACTGATCAGGTTGATGTAAAGAATGTAATTCCACAGACGTACGGATGTCTGTACTGTGCACATTCATTGATCAGAAGTGAATTATTTGGAGCGAGTGGTCAGTATTACATTTAATGCTGATGTTCGCTTCAGGCAGTGTATGAGCTAAGTTTGGATGTCCGTGCTTGTGTGCATGTAAGAGAGAGAGTGTGTCAAAAGTTGGTAGGATGAAGAACTGTAGGGAGGGAGAGAGGTGAAGGGTGAGAAGGGAGATCAGTGATGCTTCACAGGCACTGATAGTTTTAGATTAACCAGGCCAGAAATGTCTGAACTCTTACTGAAAATCCTGTCCACCCTTTGCTTTATTACCATCAGACACAATCACAAAATCAATTTTCTTTCACAAACATAACGTGGTTTTTTCAGTTGTACCGATAAAGCTTGTACCTCAAAAACATGAATATCAGTATAATAATATTAATAATGTATTTTTTTTTTTTTTACATTAAAGACAAAAAATTATTTATAAAACTCTCTTGCATAAAGAAAGACACAACTCATTCTTTCCTCCATCCTTGCTTTTCGGGCCACACTTTCCTCCATCTCTTCCTTCCCCCTCTCTACTCCTGTTGCCTCCATGTGTCTTGTTTTCTTTTTTTATGTACAACTCAACAGACTCCATCACCTCTGCCCTCCCCTTCTCCACTCACCCCTTTCTCTCCATGCTCCTCCCCCTCTTTATCCTCCTTCTCCAACTCAGTTTCTGTATCAACATCTATACAGTATATCAGATAATTTGATGGTTCTGTACATGTTATACAACCTAATAAAATATGATTACACAATAATTACATCTCTTTTTGTATGTAGCTGGAGGTTTGTGCCAAGCCCGTCCCACAGATCTCGTCTTCATAATTGATAGCAGTCGCAGCGTTCGTCCTTCGGAGTTTGAGCAAGTAAAGGTCTTCCTGGCCAAAGTCATTGAGGGGCTGGATGTTGGACCCAACACTACACGGGTGGGAGTTATCAACTATGCCAGCCGTGTCAAGAACGAGGTATGTGTTACTAACATTTATGATAATTTATGACCATTTAGTTCATAGCTCAAATTTTGGTCATTTGTTGAACCACCTTATATGGATCCTAGCTGACCTTGCCATTGTACAACTGTAGGTGTCTCTGAAGACTCACCGCACCAAAGCTGGACTGATTAAAGCTGTGAGCAAGATCGAGCCTCTGTCCACTGGAACAATGACTGGTCTGGCCATCCAGTTTGCTCTGAATGTGGCGTTCAGTGAAGGCGAGGGCGCTCGTGTGAAATCTCCTGATATCAGCAAGGTCAGACATTTTACATACAGTCTCTCACCACATTTAATAATTACGGTCACTAATTTTGACCTTCTTCACAGATTGCCATTATTGTGACTGATGGGCGTCCCCAGGACAATGTAAAGGATGTAGCTCAGCGTGCATGGGATGCCGGTATTGAGATTTTTGCCATCGGTGTGGGACGTGTGGACATGAAAACTCTGAGGCAGATGGCCAGTGATCCTCTGGATGACCACGTGGACTATGTGAAAAGCTACAGTGTCATTGAGAAGCTCACCAAGAAGTTCCAGGAGGCCATCTGTGGTAAGATGGGAGGAGAAGGAAGTGGGAGAAGAGGAGGGAAGGAGGCAGAACAGAGGGATTAGTCCTTACTGAAAAGAAGTAGTCAGGGTGGGACAGTCATTATCCATGCCTTAATATGAAGAGAGCTGTGTGCTGTCATTCCTGTACTGAGGGTAAGATGTCAGAACTGTCATCTTTTCATTCCAGTTTACAGTTTCCTCCCCTTTGTCCTCTGCTGCTCCTCAGCAGGACTACAGTGTATTCCTTAAACCATTCAAACTGATTATAATTCCCAGTACATGAGGACATTAAGGCAGGAACAACCTTTTAGAACGATGTTTGCTCCTGTTCTTTAGTCAACACTCACACAACCAAAAGGCGAGACTGATCGGTCTGTAATTACCAATCCATTAGTGACAATCATTAAAGCTCTAATTAGCGATGCCCTTCGGCGCTCCCAGGCTGCAGCAGTTTTGACTGCTGCCTGCCACTCACTTTGCAGAAGCCAATTTCACTGCAGATGTTCAGTCCAAGGGCACAGCTGCATGATCATTGAGTTGGAGTTCTATTGGATAAGCCTGAGCACCACATTTAGAAACACAACAGAAAACAAATCAGATTTTGTTCAGATGTAAGGCTACTTCAGTCTCTTCCACCTATTTGTTATTAAGGATCCACTGGATTCCTGCATAATCTACACATATTAAAGACAGTTGGGGTCAACAGCAGGTCACAGTGGATCATTAAAAATCAGTGCTCGATTTTAAAACTGACAGTTTAATTCTCTCCTCATAAAACTAATCACCCACCCCCTTCTGCGTGTGAGCCTCTACATATATTCTGTTGTGTATGTGTGTGTTCTGCATGCACACACAGTGTCGGACCTGTGTGCCAGTGGAGATCATGACTGTCAGCAGGTATGCATCAGCACCCCCGGATCATACAAGTGTGCCTGCAAAGATGGCTTTACCCTCATGAATGATGGTCGCAGCTGCAGCGGTGAGTGTGTGTGTGTGTATAGAGGTATTTGTTCAATGTGGTCCTTGTGCTACCGCATTAACACACTTTCCTGTTGTGCGTGTCTGATATCATCAGCTTGCAGCAACACGGCGACAGATGTGGTGTTCCTGATCGATGGCTCCAAGAGCATTCGTCCTGAGAACTTTGAGCTTGTCAAGAAATTCATCATCCAGATCATCGATAGCCTGGATGTTTCTCCGAACAATGCCCATGTTGGACTGGTGCAGTACTCCAGCTCAGTCAGACAGGTACATGCCTCTTTTGCTTACAGTATCACAAGAATAAGTCCTTTCCTATCTTAGGAACATTTCTGTCTCTCTTCTCCCACAGGAGTTTCCTCTAGGCCTCTACAACAACAAGAAAGACCTAAAGGATGCCGTGAAGAAGATGGACTACATGGAGAAGGGAACCATGACTGGTCAGGCCCTCCACTATCTATCAGACAACAGCTTCAGCCCCAGTCAAGGTGCCCGACCTGGAGTCACCAAGGTGGGCATCGTATTCACTGATGGACGCAGTCAGGACTACATCGGAGAAGCCGCCAAGAAAGCCAAGGAAAACGGTAGGAGGGACACGACTGATTATGTCTATATGCATGAGTGTAGTGTAAGTAGACTAACAAAGAAGGAAGGGATTTGGATCCAGTTCAGAAACTGCTTATCAAACCTGAGTCATTTCAGATCCCTTATCAAATCTAAGTAGTTTGTCTTGTACTCTTTATTTCACTCAACACAGTAACAAAGCAAATTTCGATTGTGTTGTGTAACAAAAGATGTAACTTCATATTTAAAAATGTTTTTTGGAGTCCCATTAATAACACAGTTGGTTATTTTAATACTGCTTTACAAACCATTGTGATTAACTATCAAACATGGACTGTGCACATTCTGATGATCTGAAGGGTTGTGGAGCTTTAGCACACATTTCATCACTGCTCTGTGTGTGATCCTCAGTGGTGGGCTGTGCTGTTATTACAGAAGCTATAAAAGCTAAAGTTAAAACAACACAGTGAAAAATACCATCTCAACCCATGCCTACTAATTAAATACCTACTTAAGCCAGCCAAATGAGGGAACCATGTGTATATGTTGCAGGCTATAGGATGTATGCTGTTGGAGTGGGCAGCGCAGTGGAGAACGAGCTGAAAGAGATTGCCTCTGAGCCCACTGGCGAGCACTACTTCTACACGGCCGACTTCAAGGCTATGAGCCAGATTGCTAAGAAGCTGCAGATTAACATCTGTAAAGGTCAGAAGTTGAAATTAAAAACATAAACTTACTTAATTAATGGTACAATAACTCAAAAGTTATTTATATATCCACACCTGAACTTGTGCTTTCTGATCCCATAGACGAGGACCCCTGCGAATGTGACTCCCTTGTAAAGTTCCAAAAGAAAGTAGAAGAGGCTGTACAGGCACTAACGAAAAAAAATATCCTTTACAAAGGGTGAAATGGTCTGAACATGTGATGACAAGAGGGGAGGGTTTAATCTTGTTGACATATCTTCTGCCTTATTGACAAGTTTTCATTGTTGCTGTCCTTGACAACAGCTTACTAGAGAGTATGTCAAAGAGGATTGCCTTGCTGGAGAACAAAATTGTCTGAGGACTTGCATCCCACTTCCCCCTTTACATCTGCACACACACAAACAACGGTTACTTCCTGTAAAATACTGAAAAGAAACATGAGTGTGTGTGAATCTTGACCTCTGCTTGTATCCTGAGTTCTCCCAAACCACCTCTGCCTCCTCCTTTCTCAGTCTTACCTCTTCCACCCTTGGCTTTCCTCGGGACATGAAGCAGCAGTTGCCATGGGGACATCCAGAGATCTCCGAAGGTCATCCTCCATAGCCAGCCTGTGTGTTTATTAATAAAGTCTTCCCTCATAGGGAAACGGTGAAAATACACGTGAGGGGTTTTCTTTGCCGGTATGTCAGGTCATGTCAAATGAAGCAGCACCTCACTTACACTTGTCTGTTTAAATCTGTCACTGTCAGCTCTCTCTCTCTTCCCTGAGCTTCAACTTTCTTCTCTTACTCTCACAAAAAGGCATCTATTATTATATTTGATATAGATGTGTATCCAGGTAAATTAATACAAGTTGCATCTCTGATTATAAGGGTACACCATTGATGTTTTTTATTTTCCTAAATAAAAGTGATTCAGGAAGTAAATATAAAATTGTGAAACTACTGAATGCCAAATTATCAGACACAAATGCACACACAGATGTACACACTTTAATGAGTACATAAAACACAAAATATTTCTATGGTCAGTGGCTCCAAATGTGGGCTCTGAGGACCAGAAGGTCGAGATGGGGGTGTTCCCAGCTAAATGGTGAACAGTTTCACTCCATTGCCAAAAACGTTCACAATGGCAAACCTTTACAATCATAACGTTTTTGCAGTTCAGCATAGTCTTGTAAAGTACTCTAAAGTCCTAAAATTATTCTCAAATGTCAATGATTACAACAAAATCAAAGTTGGATTCTTAGTCTAATGCGGACCTTTGGGGGTTTAGGCCTTTATTAGCGTGTAGCCATGGAAGTCATGTGGTGCCGAGATAAACAGTAGACTTGTGACTGACAGAATTATTCATTTAGCCCTTAATTTTTCTAAGAAATTGATGGATTTAATATAGCAATTAACAATAGATATCTGGCGTTTCAGCATTATAAAGGTATTATGAAATTTGTTTTAGAAAGCCAATATCAAATACTACGCACATACTGTAAATATACAATTTACTGTGAGTTTTAGAATACTGTGGTAATGCAAAAGCCAATGGTAAGTTTACTAAACGCGAAATACAACCTAGAATCACAAACAAATGATAAACCTGTAGGCCAGAAACGCTACTCTTCTAACGGTAAAGGTTTTGTAAGTTAGTTAGGCTACATATATATGTGTGTGAATAAATAATGCGCCCTGTAGCGCAGTTCATTAGTGGAAAGTTTTTCACAAACGTCACAATGACCTCATGCAAACCGTTGGTAAGCTTAAATGCAGGTTCTACTACATTCAAGGAGTTCTGTTAGAATTCTAGCCACTGGTTTACTTTTTGTTTTTTTTATTACTGAGCCACCGTCAAATGGCGCTGTTGAACCAGTTTGCAGCACCTGCTAACAGCAGCTAGGCTAACTTGGCGAGCTAACCGGCAGGCTGTCGCTGCAGTCCGGTAAGCAGGTGTGAAAATGGGCAACACCTGGTTGCTTTGAAGGTGTTCCGTCGGCTAGCATGATTTGCGGAACAGATGGCTGCGCTATAAACTTAGAGAGGCAACAGGGACCTCAGTTACTTTTCAGATAAGAAAACCAACGTTTGCATCAAGCTAACAGTAGCTAGCAGTAACATTACGCTAGGTAACTCAGTCCAGGTGATTCAACAACCAGTCCGAGGAGCTTCGGGGACCAATGCGAAAGATGGCCAGTCACTGCGAGTCAGACGTTACCTGTCAGGCTAATGGAGAAAACACACCTGGGCGAGTGTCCGGCTCAGGCTCTCGCCACCGGTCCGAGTCCGAGACCGACGTGGGGCCGACTGTGAAAAGCTTAGCTCGGCTGTGCAGCAGGGACGAAGAGGAAAGGGCAGCGGCTTTGGAGGAGCTGAGTCAGGGGGTTCTGGTGTGCTTAGGACTGAACCAACCCGGTAAGGCACGGCTGAGTAAACAAACTCTTTTGCATCTGCTTCGGCTGTCCCAGTCTTGCCCGCTGCAGGAGGTACAGGAGCGAGCAACCGAGCTGCTGCGAACCGCACAGGTAATGCAAGGTTACTGTTCACAATCGTCTCTGGTACTGTACATGTTGACAGAGCAGTAGGAAAAAATATTTCGGCAGCCGTGGGACATATTTTTCCACAGTACATTTGTTAATAATAGGTATGATTGCTTGATATCCGTAACAACAGCCTTGCAGGAGATTACCACTTTCTCTCGGGTTGCTGGTTATTTCATCAGACGTTTAACTGTAGGAGGTGATGCAAGATTGTGCTTTGGTGTGCACAAACAAGCAGGCCGGACACGCCCACCCCCGGTGTCCTGAAAAACACAGCAGACACTCCCCCCCCCCTAGCCTTCCCACTGCCCACAGGAGCTTCTCGCAATGCCCAGTCAGACTGCGACAGCCTGACACTTATTCACTTTATTTGAGAAAAATTGCTATAAACTGCCGATGATGTCGGTGAGTTTAACGCATGGTTTGGTTAAAACTGTATGTGGTTTTAAAGGGAGCAAGTTATTGAAACGGGTCTCTCCACTTATAGTAGCCTACAGCCTCGGGCTAGGTGAGGTCATGGGGGCTGAGGCTGCCTGCGTTTGTCTCACTAATCTTAAAATGTTCTATATCAGCTGTTACGTCCATATTAAGAGAATTTGCAGATTTTCTGTCTTTTGTGATAGTATGATATAAGGTTTTAGGTTGTTTATCAGACAAAACAAGTAATTAGAAAACATTTGCCTCCATTTTGGGAAATGTGATGAGCACTTTCCACCTTTTCTGACATTTAATTGATCAAACAATCAATAGAGCAGGTAGTTAGCAGAATAATGTGAAAGACATTAATCTTTATTTCACTGCATAATTAACTTTGTCTTCCTCCTTAAAACTAGGAACAAGGAGTTGAAGTGCCTCGGGCTCTGACCTCAGGTCCAAGTGCTTTTATCCCTTCTAAAGAGGTGTGTGTGAAATTTACTTATAGATATTCTAGGTGTTACTGCATGAGAGCACCTGTTAAAATGCGTTGCCTTCATAAAATGTTGTAGTGGTATAAAAACACAAGAAATCGGTTGTGACAGTGTTGTTTCATATTAGACCTGTAGCCTCACAGGTTGAGTTCAGCGTAGCACACAGCTGGCCTCCATGTTTTGTTTTCAGATTTTACAGGTACTATGTATTTGTGTCATGCTTATTTCAGTTGTTTTAATTTTACTCCACACAGAATCAGATTTCTTATCGTTGTTTTGTGAAATCAGAGACATTGTTCTATATTTGTGTGATGGTTTTTATGGCTGACTTCATTTATCTAAAACTAAAGAGCTGTGTAAGATGTGTGGGAGACTGTTTTGCTGCAATACTGCAGTGCCTGTTGCTTCATGTCATCAAGAGGAGCAACACCACAGATGTGTTGCCAAAGCTGGTGACTGAAGATACCGATTTTCATATGTGACTCAGTCCAATCAGAGTGTTGTTTTCTGTTTCATAAGGCAACTTGTTTTCTCCACCTATAAGAGAAACATTTGTGAGTGAATCCTTGCCAGTGAGTCTAGCTGGCAGGAAATCAGTGATGAATTTCCAATAGGTAGGGTTCATCTCATTATAAGCACCTTCGTTTCCCTCACTTGCATCTCTTCCTTGTCTTAGTCGTGCCCACGTAAGATGCAAGGAAAACACGGAGAGAGGACTCAAGGAAGCATGTTATTAAAGACATGAGACATCCTTTTCTCAGATCCTACATCTGAAGTGTCCAATCTCCAACTGATTTGTGATAAAGGGGCACATCAGTTCACAAAAGACTTCCGTGAAGGATGGTCTTGTTTATTCTCAGTCATGGCTCCTCCAGCACTGTCCTCACTCCTCCCATCTTCTGTGCCAACATAAGAGACTTGAAACGTCCTAAATCCTCAGTTGAACCAGAAGTTGTTCCAGTCAGTCGCAGACGTAGGAATGATCTTAAAAGAAACATGAGATGTACCCATTCTTTATCTTGTTCTTTTTCTTTAGATGTTAAAAGAAGGGCCGGACCAGGACATCCTGATTGAATCTTTTCTTTCACTGGGTCGTGTGGACCACATCACCATGGTAATGGCACTGCACCATGCGTACCTCAGCTGCTTCCTGAGGACCCAGCATGCTCTTTTCGAGCTGGATGGTCCCCTGCCCCATCACTGGAGACATTACATTGCCATCATGGTAACAAAACCACAATAATTGTTAACCAGTTACACCTTTCAGAACTTTCAGATCCAGCGCCAGGGCCTGATGTACAGCCACCCATACCAGTGGCCATGGCCTAAACAGATACAATGAGGATAAGAGGCTGAGTCAATCCACAGAGTGTTTACTCTTTGCTTGGATGGTGGTATGAGGGGTAGGAGGTAAAAGCAGTGTTAAAGTATATTAGGTCAGTTTAAAGGTATGGTAGGTTAGGGCTAGAGAATGGTGTCATCTGTCATGGGGGGCTGGCATAGCCTGGTACTCACTGAGGGGCCCAGTGATGAGTCTTAACATTATTCAACATGAATACTGGGCTTCCTTAGGAGTTTTATTGCAGATTTAATTGTGCAATGAAAATGCAACTGTTATGAAAGCAGGATTTATTGCTGCTATATTAAACTGCATTAGTTTGTTCACATTGCAGTTGTCCTTCACTGGTGTGGTGCTGTGCTGACAGTCAAATTGTGGGCATCATTAAATATGCAAAAAGTAATTCCCAGTTAATTTAAATCAAGCTTGTGTGAGTAATTTTTTTTTGAAGTAATTGTGTTTGCCTTGTGTTTCTTTACATCTGGATTTATTCCTTTTGTGTCAAATGAGGCACTAGTAACAACAGCTATAAATGCTCTGATTGGTTTGTGAAAGGCTACAGGTATGGTGAGTCTATCCTTTTAAACTTAAATATTTCAGGACTAATAGCCGAAACATTCAGCTGCCAACCCTGCAGCTATTATTTTCTGTTTCTGTGAGAGAGTCAATAGTGCCAAAGTGCTTTTATGATTTGTTTCTTTTTATATGCACAGTTAATAATTTTGGTTTTATAGTGGTGTTATTATTCCATCCTCCACTTGTAGTTTGATAAAGCCACAGTATTGCAGTTTTACAGTTCAAATGTGGTAATGCTGCTTTTACAGTCGCAGTAACCAATAAATAAGTACACTCAGACTGGGTCATTGGCTGAAGTGGCCCACTGAGTGAAGTGATATCACTACACTTATGTTTTTTTTGTTTTGTTTTTTTTTATATTTCCACCAGAACATCTCACTGTACCAGTGCTGAGTGGGCACGCCTACCCACAGTTAATAAATGGAGTGTAGTTAAGGCCGATTTAGGTGTGCCAGTTACAGTAGCAAGCAGTAACAGTAATGACTATTTTAATGACAGCACTGGATCCTTAACAAACCTTATTCGAACTTGTCATTAATTTTATTTGCTGCAGCTGTGAAAGGTCTCTTGGCAAACAGCTGCAACTGTTGTTACAGCTACATATATTACGCTGTTTGCGCAGTTTATTTTTCAGGGCATTTTACACTGTAACCTACATAACAGCCAGATGTTTTTGATGTGATATCATTATGATGCACCATTTGTCAGTGTCCATTGACCCAGTGCTTGAAATTAAGTTCCTTGCATACTGGAGGGACACATAAGAGACACATCCTTAAGCCGTGTTCTACAGAAAAATACAAATACAAAAATATATTGATAAAGGTACTGCTACATGGAAAACAAATTTTGTGGCAATCAGTGGCTGTACATAAATCTAAGAGCACTACAGTGGATTTAGTTGAGCAAATATAAATTTGGAAGTGAGCATTAACCACTATGCAGCAGTGATGTCCCTGTCTGGGAGTAAATAAAGAGTGCAGCCAAAGTTAGCTAAAGAAAGCACTATGTGTGTCTCATTGTTATAAGAAATGAACAGTTTGATCCATCTGGTTTAATATTGCATAGATCTAGGGATTTAATTTACTTTATACATGTAATTCAAATAAACCACCCAACTCTGAGGCTGTACCCCAGACCGGCCACCCTGTCCAAAATTTTTTAGATCTTCCCCAGATGACAGATGTAAAATGGATTTGGCGGGCCATTTTCTCCTTGAGGGGGTATCCAACTATGATGTCATAGCGAGCCAATAAACAGGCTTGCCAGTGACAGTGGTCCTCCCATAAACATTTAATGACCCTCATCGCTCATACATTTACATCACATTAGCTGCCCTTTCAATTCAGAAATGCTGGTCATTTGTCTTGTAATGATCTACTGGTGGAGAAGTTCAGTTGTGTTGCTTTAACCTCTGAGCCTGTTATATTTATGAGAACAGACAATTCTTATGCATTATGCAGTTGTGATGCACAGACCAGTGATTGAGCTTTAACAGATGGGGGTACTGTGCTTGTTTCCTCAAATGTTAATCTGGACTCTTCCTAATGCTTCACAGGCTGCAGCTCGACACCAGTGCTCGTACCTGGTACAGCAGCACAGTGCGGGCTTCCTGGAGGCTGGAGGGGAGGAGAGCTGGCTGAGTGGCCTGGAGCACGCTCCCACCAAACTCCGCAGCCTGCAAACACTCAACAAGCTGCTGGCACACAGACCCTGGCTCATTGCACAGCAGCACATCCAGGTCAGACACAACACCCACTCACTCCCTGTGTCTCATTCCTCTGCTCTCTTTAGCTCATTATATAATAGGAATACTTGGTAATACATTGAATTTCTGACTTGGGCTGATTCTCATGTTACTCCCTTGTTGACTCACCAACCTTTCCTTGTATAATAGACAATCAGTGGTTTATATCAACATTTCAGACAATAATAATTTTGCGTCATCAGTGACTGATGTAGTTTTGCATCTCTAAAGCACATTGCATTGTGGGATTGTTAGAAGAGAGTAGTGTACATGTCATGGACACAGTTTTTTTTCTTTCTGTTTGAATTTGAGCACTCAAATAAAATTATAGGTAGTAAATAAAGAGCACTACAGATACTCACAAATGTCATGGGAGTTCATGCAGTAGTTGTTGAGATATTTCAACATGTGCTCTTCTGCCCTGTAGGAGCTGGTTTGTCCTGGCGCAGAGCCTCGCTGGTCATTAGCTGAACTTATACATGCTGTGATCCTGATGGCACATGCTCATTCACTCTGCTCTTTTGTGTGGGGCTGCGGCATAAAACCTGAACCTGACCACATTGGAGGTTACACCTTCGCACCTCATTCACCTAGTCGCCTTTCTCATAGCCCCCATAGCCCCGCTCATGAAGATGGCAGGCAAGAGGTGAGTCCAGTCATTTTTCAACACAGCTGTGACAACATGACAGGGACACAGGGGGGTTTAATTCATTGCAGTGTTCTTTCACTAGTCACACCAGTTTAATAGAAGAACCTCAAGCCTTTCCACTCTTTTATTTCCTCTAGTTGGCTGATGGAGTGATGGAGGTGGAGGTGCTGATGAAGAGGATGGTGGAGCTGCAACAACAGCAGCTGCAACAACAGGAGGAGGAGGAGGAGGAGTGCACACAGGAGGAGATGGTGACTCGCTTTGAGAGAGAGAGGAGTGAGAGCATACCAACAGGTACAGACATGTTTGCATCACACTCATTCAGCTAGTTGATACTCAATTACTCACGTCATCTTGTTTGTTGTGTCGTGTTTATCAAGCGGTGGTGAGGGGAGCTCCACCTGAGCTAGTGTTGCGCCTGGTGGAGGATCCAGGGTTTAGATATGAGGACTTTGCACCGAGAGGAGAGCAGGCACCACCGACCATGAGAGCACAGGTAATGTGGAACCATTCTGTCATTTCTGGCTGATTTTTCTAGCAGTATATTTTTTGTTCTGGTGGACACTTCGAAGATTAAATGGTAATTGAAATTATGTGCATTGCCTAGACCTTTGTTTGTTGATGCTGGTGTGTGATGTGTGCAGGACTATTCATGGGAGGACCATGGCTTCTCTCTGGTCAACAGACTACTGCCAGACATGGGCCAGCTCCTGGATGAGAAATTCCAGGTACCCTCACCTTTAAACAAATAGAAGTACATGGTTATATGGGTAGGAACTTAAATCAAGTCAAAATTATGCCACGGAAAATTCAGCTTATTTTTCACACTTTACTTGATCATTGTTTTTGTATGAAATGCAGTTTTACTCTTCAGGCCTCTAAAATCACCTTGTGTGATAAAGGGAAGGGTCTCAAGAAGACATGGCTTTATATGAAGTCATTAGTGAAAAAATGAGGTGAAGATAGTCATCTAAATCTTTTACCACCCAATGGAGAGATCACCAGCAAATGCTGGAAATAGAAATGACAAAAAAAAGGGGGCATCTTCGAACCACCTGATGAAATGACACATTGGTACTTAGTTCGGGTTTCAGAATATAACTCCAAGAGAGAACACACTGAGCACATTATTAAGATTTCCTTGTCACATTGCAGGTTGTGAGTGACTTGACCTACCACAGAATGGCCATGCATGAAGGTGTGGACACTTACACTCTGAGAAAAGCTCTGTGGAACTACATCCACTGCCTCTATGGGATACGGTCAGTGTCCTTTAGAAATCACTGAGTCAGCAAAGATTTAAAATGGGATTTTGTCCTTTTTGTCACAAATGTTTGTCACTCTGTATATGCAGATATGATGATTATGATTACGGCAGCGTGAACGTGTTGTTGGAGCGCTCTCTGAAGGTGTTTGTTAAAACCGTGGCCTGTCACCCCGAGCAGACCACAGCACGCGTCTACTGCTCCTTCTGGAGGCACTTCAGACACTCTGAAAAGGTACGGACATGTTGAGACAATGCACCTGACCTGGCCTCTTCTGCATGGGTGAATGAATAATTTGACATCCGAACATGTTGGTGCTCTTTGGTACATTCTCAACAAAGAATGACTCATTTGACATTTTAGTGTGTCCTCTTTATTCTTCCTTTTTAAATTTTATTAGAGAAGGAAACGCTACAGACGGGCCTTGATTGTGCAAGCTTGTAACTCAGAGGTAATGACGCACTTCAATTTTTTTTTTTTCCCAGGTTCATGCAAACCTAATAGTGATGGAAGCCCGTCTACAGGCAGCCCTTCTTTACCCCTTACGAGCCATCACACATTACATGAGATGACTCCATTACTCGCAGGTTTTTGCAGATGCTGAGCCAGCTGTGACATGCCACAGCCCAATGCATAACACAGCATTAACAGATAATCACACATACTACAGTCAATGTTTTCAGTGTTAATGTTTTGATGCTGCTTTGCGACTGGGATTTCTATTTAAAATGTACTTATTTTGCACTGAAATGTATCAGGTTTTGTTTGTCCAGAACAACACTTGAGGTTGTTCGGAATATCTTGCACATGTTTCTGTCATATGTGCCAGATATGCAGGTAGAATAGGTCTGATAAAACTAAATCATCATCATGATTCAAGTGTTTCCTTTTGCAGACCTAGTGTTTATTTGATTTGCCTCTTTGGGCCAATATCTGTTGAGCACTACTCATGCTTCAGTCCTCTTTGCAGCACACAGAGGCTGAGGAAAAAAAAACAGACAAAATAACTTGTATTTTTATATGTACAATAAAAAGGTTTCTTTGTTAGCAAAATTGGTTTTTGTCTGAGTCAATTCTTCACTTTTAAGATTGTACTTAAGCCATTGATATTTTACTGGGTATCTCTTCATTTGAGCCAAGAATACAATGCGTGGGAATCAGCTTTTGCGTTTTTGTATTCTGATTTGAAGGCTAATATAAGGGAGTATATATAATTTGAGATTGTTTAAATTCACAATAGTTCAACACAAGTTTAAATTACTGGATGTGTCAGTACTTTGACACACCACTAGATGGAGACAAAGATTTAAGGAAATGGAATATAGTTCAAATCAACGCTCTGTTCAAGACGAAATGCAACACTACTATTACAGTAGGTACATCTGTCCTGTGCTCTTGTCTTACGGTTGGTCGTGCATGATCTGGTGACAGTACATTGACAGACGCCTGATGCAACACTACTATTACAGTAGGTGCATCTGTCCTGTGTTCTTGTCTTACGGTTGGTCGTGCATGAGCTGGTGACAGTACATTGACAGACGCCTGAGAGTTGATAGCAGCACGAGGAAAAAAGGTCAATGCCAGTTAACTCCACAAAAAAGAAAAGGTCCATACGCTCGGGGCTAATTTCTGTAGGGTAAAGAACTGTTCGCGGATATCACACGTTTCATTCAGACTTCCTGTAGTTCACACCATTAAATGTGTCGCATCTCACACTGCAGATGCGCATCAGCCTGGCAGCGAGGCAGCCTGTACCCCCGCTTGCCTCAGGTTCCCAGGGTTGCACATGCTGAGACCCACAATCGCCTTAAAGTCAGTGGTTTGCCCGCTTAAGTCGAGAACGTTTACATCAAACTAGTTCAACCTATTTTATCTGTGTATCCTGGCGTGTGCGACTATTTTAAATTAGGCTACATCAGTTCAAAAATTAGAACAAATTTCACACTGGAAACTACGCTCTGATGATATAACCTATAGGGTAAGCCCTTGTGTGGTTTACCCAGTTTCTATGAATACTACTAATACTACTAATAATAATAATAATAATAATAGCCTAATCAAAAGATTTCTTCCTGCTGTCCGCTGCACGCGCGTGCTCCTCTGGGGTGGACCTCAAACGCGTCAGGTCCTCGTTCGTTCCTTCCGGACGAGGCGCGCCTCATCTCTTCGTTCACTTGCGCAACGCTGCAGTAGCGCGCGCGGCTTTTCTCTGTGCTCCTCCGCTAGCCACCGGACACCGGTCTCCGTGCGACTGATTCCAGGATTCCCCGGGATAACGACGACATTTGTGTCCGGTATGTCTCCTGTGGTTGAGATAAACTGTGCGTTGAATATTAATGACATTAACTACTGGTTTATTTAGGAATGTCTCTGGAAACAAGATGCATGAAATATACAGAGGTAGTTTTCTTACATATCCGACTACATATGGCGTTTTATGTTACTGTAACTGTTCTGTATGGGTGGAGGAAGTCGCCTGTAGTTCACAAAGGGCTATAAATGCAATTTAAGTAAAAGAAGACCACTCAAAACGTAGATCAGTATTTTCAGCAGCCTACCACCACACTTCTCTGTATTAAAAAAAAAATTAAATAATATCCGTTGGTGTCACTGAAAATTGGGTAAGGTTGGAGTGTTTATTCTTAGATAAAAGGAAGTTTGGCCTGTTTGTGAGAAGTTGTTTCGCTGCCAGTACTTCACTCTTTTACACCATATTTGGAACTCAAACTGCCAATATTGCAGTACTGAAAGAGGGGAATTTACCAGAGACTAGTGACAAGTCCTTCCAAGTTGGATCCTTTTCTATCAAAGAGTTGTTCGTTGAACATAAGACAAACTAGGTTTAATAGTGGAGCATTTCAACCAATACATATTATAATAGCATCTGGATCTGTGCATTATCTGTGATCAGCTGGACATTTATGTAAGTGCGTTGCACATTTAACCAATTCTCAGAATGGGCATTTAGGCTTTGCAGTGTCAGACTATATACAGTACATTTTATTAAAAAAGAAACATTCCTTTAGTAAATGACCGTGATTTATTTGGTAACACGCCTACAGGAAACCACCTTGAGGAAAAAGGAGGGCTGCTTGTTTCCTTAACTTTTTCATCTGTCTGACTTGTTTCTGTGAGCTCAGAGTGTGGTGTGATTGGTGCAGGTGTTTATTCCTTCTTAAAGATGGGCTGCATTATCACACAGCCATCTTTTGTAACCGACACAAATCTCTTGTTTCACAACACTAAAATGTCTCTGTGTGAAGGTGTTATTGTGGAATTTTGAGGGTCGGATGGGGAAAAACGCAATTAGGCTGTCCAAGGCAGGACTTCATCACATCCCGTTTCTTTACGAGGTCAGTTCCTGTCGTTAGTCTCGGGGTTCGACAGGAAGGAAGGAGGCGTGGATATGTTTTTAGTGCAGGGTTAGAAATGGACGCTACCATCGTCATGTTGCTTTCCCACCAAGCAGCTGAAGGCAGTTGAGTCCAAGATAAGTTGTAAACCTACTGCTAGGCCTCAGCACCCATGGACACCCCTGGGTGTCAGCTGAATGTCCTGTGCCAGTGAGGATGAGCCCTCAATAGATGACAAAATCAGACTGTTTAACCTCAGTACTTTCATATATTCCTTCCAAAAAGTCGTCTCAGTCCTCTGTATCTGGAGGATGTGATGACTTCATGTGGAAACAGGACGTCCCGATGACCGAGACACCTTACTTTTCCATTCGCCCCCCTGGTCCCCCCTCCTAGTTCTGTCTCCTTTCTGTTAAGAGTGTGTGTATGTGCTATCCGTGTGAGGGTTCGGTGACAGCCTGCTTCCCATTGTCCTATCGTTCCTGCCCCTCTCACACTCTGCATCCTGTAGGGCTTCCTGCCACAGAGTCAGAGAGAGAGAGAGAGGTAAGAGGAGCTGGAGAAAAGAGGAGGAGGGGGATTGGAGAAAGTCTGAGCAGACCACAGAGGTGGTGTAAAAACATACTGAAACTACAAAAGTGAACAAATGTGTGTGTTGCCCTGTGCTCCTGTGGTGAGTTCCAACTGGGAGCAGCTTATCTGCAGTACACTGTACAGGAAAGGGTGTGTCTTTTGGATTTCGGTGTTTGTCAGTGTGACGATGCAGGGAGTTGTTATTGTGATTTTATTAATGTGCACAGAATACATGCTAATGTTTTGTAGGTCAGAATTTATTTATTCCCGTATTGTTCAGAATGTACAATTTACTTTGTATAATATAATACAAATGATTTATTTACAAATAAATAATATTTTGCATACGAAACATGCTTATGGAATATGATTCAGTGCTTGCTGGCTAATGCATCAGTTATACTGATCCAGTAATGTAATGACAGTGAAAGCAGCAATTTGGCATACTGAGCACTTTTACTTATGGTACTTTAAATGTAATTTGCTGCTTAATACTTCTATGCTTTTACTGATTTTTAAAAAAAGTATAGTACTGCTTTTTTTCTTTCTGAGTGCTTCTTCTCTCACTGCTGGTTTGTGAGAGGCTTTCTTAAAGGGTCAGTTCATTAAATTGCAAAAAAACAAACAAACATACGTATAGCACTATACAGATAATTTTGACTTGATCTGCCTATGTTTTGTTATTTGTAGACTTCTCCACCCCTTTACTATACAGGTGAATTTAAATGAATTGAGATGCCCACAGCAGTCAGAGAAAACTAAATTCATCAGCAGTGTCCATTTTCCTCTGGAAGATTCTATCTTACTGAACCATTTTCTTAGGTACAGCAAGTATTTTCACTGAAAACAGTTTCTTTGATTACAAAATGTAATTATACTCCATTGTACAGGGCTGGAGGCAGATATTTCAAAACCTTGAGGTGGAAAAATTGCATACATGTCATCATACCATTAAGTAAGAACATCTTTTTTTTTTTTAAAGTGGGTGAAATAAGCCTTGAAAAGTGTCACGAGCATGAACACTAATTTAATATTTATATTTTAGTTTGTGCTATGAGAGGGCCTGTTGTTGCAGTCAGATGCATCACAAAGCAGTACCACAGAGATGACAGCTTCTGTTTCACACGGTATTTCTTCTTTGAATTTACCAGCTGTCATAAAATAACCCCTGCCCTGACAGTCATCAGCCAGTCAGTGAGGTGCAGTTTCATTATGAAACAGTCTAATAGAGGAAATGCTAGTGTCTGTGAAGGTGCTATAACTGGAAAGGTTTTGTTTAATAAAAAGAGACAGACTTTAATAACAGCTGCATCATGGAGAAACAATTAGTGTCAGAGGACCACCTTTTTTAATGCAAAACTGAATTGTAAAATTAATTATTTTAAACCTACATTATTAAAATTTAGAGTAATTTTTTTTACTGCTAAACTTTTCCAAAACCAACCACCGTGTGTGTTTATTTGCTTTACATACAGTACTGCACCTTTTTTTGTTTCTTGGTTGCAAGAGGCAAAGAGGAACTTGCACTTTTCGTAAATTACTCTGGTGTGATCACTTTTGCAGGACCTGAACAGAGTACCTTTACACACACACATCTTAAAAACAGGCAGCGTGCTAGTTTGACTGTGCAAGCCCTACTTTACCAACTATTATTATCTCCATCATGCACCCACACACTCACATATACACACGCTTTGCTCTAGTAAATCTGCTTTTGCGTAATAAAGCAAATTGTTATCATAAAACACATGAAACAAGTTATATACCAGTATGTAGGTTCCGGTTGCATATCTTGGATGTGTGCATACTCAAAAAGCCTTTGTCTGGTATGTTGTGTGTTGTGCTGCACATATAACTTCAGAGATGAATAATGCCTTGTTTTCACAACCATGTTCCCTTTTTATATAAGCACCTTGGGTCAACTGTATTGTTAGGTGCTATTTACGAATTATCATAGCTTCTGTGTGCAGAGAAGAAGACAGATGAGAACAAGTAAATTCAGTCGACAGGAACCCAACAGAGAACAATGACTACATGGCTGCCTTGTAAACATTCTGTGTGTGTGTGTGTGTGTGTGTGTGTGTGTGTGTGTGTGTGCCAGTCTGGTCTGAGGTCAGCTGTTTTAGAATTCTTAGAATAGTCAGAAAAGAAGAGATGAGATAAAGATGAAAGGGCAGAAGCCTCCTTTATGCCCTCTATGACTTCTCCTATATACTGTACGCTTTATCAGACAACGAAACAAATCAGCAGTTAAAGGGTGGATAGAGAGATTATGAAAGGTTATTGTTTGGGGGGTGTGGACCAGGAGTAAAGAAAAACAGCAAGTCAGAGGAAGATGTGTGCATTTGTGCCACTGCAGGTGCTTGGTATACTCGCAAGAAAAAGTAATAGCACAGTTTGAAATGTCCTGGTTTTCTGCATAAATTCGCCATGATCTTCACCACAGTCACAAATATTAACAAACTATATTTCTGAGCTGATAAAACACAGCCAGCTGTTTCAAACACTTTTGGCAGCAATAACCTCAAGCAAGTACTTCATGTAGCTGTGGATTAGACCTGCACAAAGTTCAGGAGGAATTTTGGACAATTCTTCCTGACAGAACAGCTTCAGCTCAGCCATATTCTTAGCACGTCTGGAGTGAACAGCTCTCTTGAGGTCATTCCACAGCATCTCTATTGGGTTGAGGTCTGGGCTCTGACTGGGCCACTCCAGAAGGAGGATTTTGTGTCTCCGAAGCCCTTCTGTAGTCGATTTACTTTGCTGTTTAGAGTTGTTGTCCTGCTGCATCACCCACCTTGTTCTGATCTTCAGCTTGTAGCCACCCTGACATTATCCTGTAGAATACTTTGTTAACCTTGGGAATTCATTTTCCCCTCCACAATGGTAAGCAGTCCAGATCCAGAGGCATCAAAGCAGCCCCACATCATGATGCTCTGTCCACCATACTTCACTGTTGGGATGAAGGTTTCATGTTGGTATGCAGTTCTCTTTTTACGCCATACAGTGTATATAGTACCGTGTGTTCTTCCCAAACAATTCTACCTTCGTTTCATCTGTCCACAGGACATTTTCCCAGTAGTGCTGTGGAGTGTCAAGGTGGTCTTTGGCAAACTTCAGGCCTGCTGCAATGCTGTGCTTGGAGAGCAATGGCTTCCACCATGGTGTCCTGCTGTGGATACCATGCCTGTTCAGTATTTTGCATGTGGTTGACTCATGAACAGAGATGTTAACCAGCTCCTATGGATCCTTCAAGTCTTTAGCTATTACTCTAGGGGTCTTTTTACCTCACTGAACATTCTGTGTTATTGCATTTGGAGTGATCTTGGCTGGGCGCCCACTTCTGTGGAGAGTAGCCACAGTACCAGATTGTCTCCATTTGTAGACAGTATGTCAAACTGTGGACTGATGAGTATCTGAAGTCTTTGAGAGGACTCTGTAAACGTTTCCAGCTACATGCAAATCAAAAGCTCTTGATTGTAGGCCTTCTGAGAGGCCGATGCTGCTTGTGAATAGCACACTGACACTGTTTTGAGTGTTTTTATAAGTCAGAGTAGTTCTGTTCTCCATTCTTGTTTCATTGTTTGGACTCCAGGTTTGCTAACACCTGACTCCAGCTGATGTTTAGTGACATCAGAAGCCAAGTGTTGCCTTTACTTTTCCCACCATCACTTTACATGCTAAATGGGTGTGCTCAGTCAAGACATGAAAGAATATGACTGTGTTTTATCAGCTTAGAAATATTGTGTTTGTTGATATTTGTGACTTTGGTGAAGATCAGATCACATTTCATGACCAATGTATGCAGAAAACTAGGAAACTGCAAACAGCACCATTATTTTTTCTTGTGACTCTATGTGTGTGTATATGGATATTGCCGTCAGTTTCCAGGAAAAGGGGGGAGCCATCAGAGGAGTGGACAGGAAACTAGCAGTGCTAACTTCCTGTTACTCTCCTGATGGCTGATCTGATAGTGGGTAAGTGTATGTGTGTGTGTGCAAATTTTTGCATATTTTGCTCTGAGAGAGCACCAGATTCTTTCAGATAAGACTAGTGATACTGTAGCTTCTGTTTCTTTAAAGACTGAGTGGAATTTGTGGTGCAGATGGGACAAACCTGCCACAGTTCACTGGGAGTACTGGTATTTTTTTTTAATCATAATTACCATTAATTAGTTTAGTTATTTATACCTCACTGCTTTAACTTGTAGTGCTCTTCCTGTGTGTGTGTGTCTTCCCTCACATTCCTTGGTAGGTGGGGAGGTTGCAGCCTGGAGATTAGTCAGCTTGAAAGGTTGCCAGTGTGAATCCCAAGGCCACTCTTAGAAACACCTCTCAACATAACACCAAACAAAATGGCCATAAAGTTGAACAACCCTCTAAAAGTTCCAACTAAGCTGAACATTATAACCTACATGAAGGTAGGAATTATTGCAGGACTGTAGAGTTTTGGCAAGGTGGACCTTATAAACTGGCAAATAAATGTGAGTGCTGCTCTGCAGAAAGCCCTTGAACAAAGCATTTTGCCGTAGATAAACAGGTTTTCCTAAAGGAATATTGCTGAAAATACAACCGCTCATGGTCTCATGTGGATGATTATATGCAGGTGTCTTTGCACACAGTGTAAGTGGTGCACAGCCTTCTCTGTATGTTATTTTAGTTCCTCTTGTTTTCACCCGCTTTTTGCTTTGTCAACACACGTCCTATTGAAACAATGTGGCCCTCGAATAACTGGAAGTCATGATTAAAAGTGTGCAAATCAACGCAATGTTCTTTATGAAACACATCTCACACTGTCAGTGACTGTAAATTTGTGTCAGTTATCCCGTCTGATGACATTTACAAGTCTATCTCACCGCAAACCCAGATACCTACACACATGCATGTTAAAACTCTCAGACACACAGCTGTTGACCAAAGAGAATGCCTGAGTACCCCCTCTTGAAACTTCACGACAAAAAGGGAAGTGGCTAACCACACATCTCTTTGTCTCTCCTTATCATGAGCTGTCTCTGTATTCTTTTTTTTTTTCTAACTTCTCTGTCTCCACACGTCTCCCCTCATGCATCTCTTTATTCATGCTTTACTGCTCTTGAGCCTTTCTCACACATACTCCACTACCTTTTCCCTCTGTGGTTCTCTGCCAAAAAAAAATCTTTCCCTCCTTTTTTCCAGTGGCAATGGTGATTGACAGATAATTGACAGAGGAAGACATCAGGTAAGGAAAAAGTTAACTTCTCCTTTCCATTTTATCCCCGCCCTTTATTTTGCCTTCTCCTCTAGCTTCAGGGAAGTTAAAGTTCTATTTAAAGTTTAATACTTTTCTCTTTGTAGTTCTCTTTAGTGTGACATGCATCATGATAACCCCTGTATGTTAGTGTATGTTGCTTTCACTTTCTACCAGTTTGTCTTCAAGTTTCACTCATGACAGGAATTGGGGGAAATTAATTACTTACAGTAACACTAAAACTGCCATCTTATTTCTATTTTATGTTGTGATAATCCATTACCAAAGCCATGATACCACTGCCTCCACTGCGTTGAATATGAAGTCTGTTTTTAAGTCAAGTCAAGTCAAGATTTTTATTTGCCATTTATGCATAAACAGACAGTCTAGGCATATAGGAACCCTTGTGCAGCTTTCCGTTTTCAGTCAGGTAAGGTGTCAAAAGCCAGAAAGAACACTTAGTCATAAAATAAAAAAAAGTTACATAAAGGCAACAAAGCATTAAAACCTCAATAGACAAAAATAGGGTAATAATATTTTCCCCAGTGAACTTCAAACATCACACTTAGTAATTCACATGGTGGAGTTGGATATGTCATTATGCTTGGTGAGGTAGTGAGGGGTTATAACATACTAAAACACAATTTATATTCAGGCCTGTTTCCATTGCTTGGTAGAGAATGCCCTGCTATTACTCAGGTCCCCCAAGAGAAAACTGTTGATGAGATGCTCTTACAAACATACCTTGTGGAACATTTCTGTATTATTATTGCACATGTCTAGTAAGGGGTTATTGCACGTATATACTCACATTTCTCACATTTTCATATTTGCCATCAGTCTTACTGTGGCAGGGAAAAAGCTGTTGTAAAGTCTAGTTCTGTGTGTGATGATACTGTCTGCCCTGCTGTGTCTGAGGCTGTAGGTGCAGTTTTTGTGTCTGAGCAGAGAGAGAGCTGGGTGGCGTGGGTCTCTGAATATGTTCTCCACCCTTCTATGGAGGTGAATTATTAAATTGTTGGAGGATCCCTTTAAAAAACAGGTAATTTTTAATCATTTTTATTGCAAACAAACAATTGTGGTTATCTCTATAAAAAGCACAGTGTTGCTATGAATTATTATCCAGATTTCAGGTTAAGAAAAGCCTTTTGTGAGCTGCATACAGTGTCAGTCACCAGTGTATAGCATCAAGCAGCAAAACACAGAAGTACAATCGTGGATAAGTGGCATCTCTTACTGCTCCTTTTACAGACGTCCTGTCCGTGCTGGTTATTATGGGGTGTGCCTGGTGCAAGCAGAAGAAGTCCACCAAAACAGTAGCAGCAATATCAGCAGCATCAGATGTTACAGATCTGTCTCCTAGCAACACAGATGGAGGGGTGTCCACGGCCTTGACTCAGGGCCGTTACTGTATCGACCCTACTCAGATCATCCCAGACTTCAACAAGGGCTTCTGTAGCCCCATGTTCCCCAGTACCAACGCACAACAAAGGCCTGGAGGCATAACAAGTACGACTGTGTGTGTCTGTGTACGTGTGAGGCCACTGTAAAATGGTGTTACAATATTGCTTAGATTCTAGATGTTGAAAATCAGTATACCAATTAAGAAGTGCAGTTTGCTATCTAGTACTTCTTTAACATTTGTCTCTGCCATTTGTGCTTTTTTATGTGTTGTAAAGTTTTTCGAAATGTGTATGACTGTGGCTAAAAAGTACAACAAAGCTCACTGTAGATCTGATGCAGTATGCTATGATGTTATCATAAAATTACGCTGTTCTTTTTTCTGCACTGCAGAAAGTTCAAACTCAGTAAGATGAAATTTCTTAAAACAAAGTAATAGGTGCCTGCTTTTGTCTAAGGCAATGTTTCTTCTTACCAGGCAGCTTCTGCGTCAGATAATTTCATTTGTTTTAAGTTGTTTTTGCCGTTAAATATCTTAATAAGATATTAATGCTTGTCTCTGAGATTTTAATACTGGTTCTGAGTAACTTAGTGCTTGATATTAGAACTGATGTTTGATCAACACTGACAAGTACAAAACTGCTTTGTGTCAGATAAATGTACTTGTTTTTAGTCTAATTGCACTAAGACTAAGACTAGACATTTGACATATCTCTAAAAGTCCTGGCAAGTGAAATTTTCCTGTTCTATTGGCAGATAATGTTGCTTATCTTAAGTGATACAGTATTTCTTATATTTTATTACTTTTGTTTGTTTGTTTTTGAGAGCTGAGTTTTTGCACTCTTCGCCCCTCAACAAAACAAAACATAAGAACATGTACAAAGCAAATAAATCTTAATGTTGTTTTTCAGTGTAAAGCACTGTGCCAAAATGTTTACAGCCATTCAACTGTAATTTCTTCTTTTTTAAGTTTATGAAAGGGGAAAAATCATCTTATTCCATGCTGCCTGACAGTATAACACATATTTTCATTGATCTTGTTCTACTGAAGGTGTCCAAATCTAAGACAATTACTGGATGAGTTTCATTAAATGGAAATATATAGATGTTGTGCACCATTTTATGTCAGTTTTCTTCAAAATTAATTTGCAGATATTTAGCATATTTGGAAACTTTGGGATCTGCACAAGATTTCAAAATAAATTTGTGCGTAGTGGGGCAAGCCCCGGCCAACCTTGGGCCTTTCTGTGTGGAGTTTGCATGTTCTCCCTGTGCCTGTGTGGGTTCTCTACGGGTACTCCGGCTTCTTCCCAAAGACATGAAGTCTAGGTTGATTGGCAACTTTAAATTGCCCATAAGAGTGAATGGTTGTCTGTAATTACATGTCAGGCCTGTGATAGATTGGTGACCTGTCCAGGGTGTACCCCGCCTCTCGCTCAATGTCAGCTGGGATTGGCTCCAGCCCCCCCGTCATCCTGTTCAGGAATAAGCGGTATGGATGGAGTTGTGTGTCTGGCTGCATGACCTTGTAATGACAGACCAGAACCTTGTAAAGAGTTAAAACTGTTAAAAACAAACAAAACTAAATGACTACTAGAGTGTAGAACTGGAAACTGATCTTTCCTTCTTGTCACCTGTGTGTGTGTTCCTAAATGACTACTAGAGTTCAGCGGAATGGACTAGAGTGTAGAACTGGAAACTGATCCTTCCTTCTTGTCACCTGTGTGTGTGTTCCTAAATGACTACTAGAGTTCAGCGGAAGGGACTGGAGTGTAGAACTGGAAACTGATCCTTCCTTCTTGTCACCTGTGTGTGTTCCTGGGTGTGTTTGTGTGAACATGTATGCAGGTGGTGGAGTCACGCTCTTTATAGCTCTGTATGACTACGACGCTCGCACTGAAGATGACCTTACCTTCCAGAAAGGAGAAAAATTCCAAATCATCAACAACACGTGAGTACAAGCACAGCTGTATTTTAGTCACAGTTTGCTTTTCTTTTAGTAAAAAGCTGCCCTTATAAATAGATATTACCAGTGATCAGAGTTAAATGATAACAGTTATAATTCCCAAAAGGTGACTCTTTTTGTTTCCATACATAAAATGCCACAAGCTGCAGTGAAATGCCATCCATTAACCCTGTGAGCTGTCAGACATCTTCACTGTTGCTAGCGATGCTGACAAGCTTGTCTTGAAAATGGTTCTTGTTCTGTTCTAGAAATCAAAAATAACTATGTAAATTTAGGTTTGTGGCTAGCTGAAGGTCTCCAGTGACCTATTTGCTTTTTATCTTTGCTCTCATCTTGACACCTTTTATTCTTCATTTTAGTTTTACATAGATAATGGTCTGCTTTGAAAAAAAAAGCGTTATTTTACATCACATCATATCTATCCTCTGCATTTCACACCTAAACCTTACAACTTTTACACATTTTGCTCTTAAGAAGGATTAAATAAGGAATGACGTGTGTGAACCATGGATTAACGGCAAAGTTAAACCATTATAATGCAGTTTACAGCCACAGTTATTTTTAAATCAATAATTCCCGAAATCTTAATGTAGGGTGTAGTGAAAAGAAACAAAGCATTTGTGTGAACTCATGTTTCATCTCTACAAACAAACTGATGTTTTGTGTGTAATTTGACAGAGAGGGCGACTGGTGGGAGGCTCGATCTTTGGACACCGGCAACTCAGGTTATATCCCCTCCAACTACGTAGCTCCTGTGGACTCCATACAGGCCGAGGAGTAAGCACACCCACACAGAGTAGTGGAAGCTAATATATACTGCATTTTAAGTATTGATACTTTAGTTTCTGTTGACAAATTTGATCAACAAATGACTTTAATCTGCGGGCAGAGGTTGCATGAAGAAAGGCTCTTGCCCCAGTGACCCGTGTGTTGTTGTCATGGTGACAGGTGGTATTTTGGCAAGATGGGGAGAAAGGATGCAGAGAGACAGCTGCTGGGCCACAGCAACCAGAGAGGGACTTTCCTCATCCGAGAGAGTGAGACCACCAAGGGTGAGAACACCACGCAACAACCCACATACCTTCTCTTTTAATATGGGCTTTCTGGACTAAATATATAATAAAGTTCAAATGTCTTCTCTTTTTGTCTCGCACATCAACCTCACTCAACGCTACAACTTTCTGTCCTTTCACCCCTCATCCCCCTTCTCCACCAACTCTTTACAGGTGCTTACTCTCTGTCTATCCGTGACTGGGATGATACCAAAGGAGACCACGTTAAGCATTATAAGATCCGCAAACTGGACAACGGTGGCTACTACATCACCACGAGGTCACAGTTTGACACTGTGCAGCAGCTGGTAGAGCACTACACAGGTAAAATGCATAAATGGACACACAAGATCATTGATTCATCCTCTTTTCTTGTACCTTTTCTTCAGAAAGAGGAAATGTTTTAAGTTATGCAGATTTTCACCAAATTTCTGTTTCTACCTGATTTATACAGAAATTACAGTTTTAGCAGTTGTGTAAAATAACTACAGTTAAACCTTGGATTGCGAGTAACTTGGTCTGCAAGTTTTTTTTTTTTATAAATTTTAATTTGATAAATGAGTGATTTCTTTGCAATACGAGTAGTACATACGCTGTCTGCTGAGCATCAGGTCACAACTGAGCCGATGGTTCTCTCTCTTTCTCGCTGCGGGATAGTGAGTACAGTAATCGTCTCCCGGTCTCACTCATATAGTCATTTGTCCTGCAACAATGGACCTGATGAAGAAGAAGAAAAAGGTTGAAAAAGAAGGCGGTAAGAAGAAGTAGATGATTACGGTGGAAGTTAAAAAGAAAATTGTCCAGAAGTGTGAGCGATCAATCTGTTTAACGATAATGCAGTGGCACATTTCCACCAAATCCTCAAAAGGAAGTGAAAGTGTCATTGGATAGGTTCCTTCTTACAGCTGCACAAAAAAATATATATATATATTAGCAAGCCAACAGATAGCAGATAGCTCCTCCCTCTCGTCTCCCTCATGCCACCCACGATTCTCTTCAGAGGTCAAATTTAGGTTGCAGTACTGTTATCATTTTTTTATGAATAAGTGGTTGTGGAATGAATCATCTGTGTTTCCATTATTTCTTATGGGGAAATTTACTTTGATATATGAGTACTTTGGATTACGAGCACGTTGCCGGAACAAACTATACTCACAATCCAAGGTTCCACTGTACATCAACTCAGGAAATGTACATAGATATACAGATTTGTGGTGTTTGTTCTACTTTATACTTTTACTCCACTACACTTATCAACATCTGATGTTGCTTTGCAGATTTATCTTAAAAAAAGTATTATGATAAGCTTACAAAATATCATATGTTGTTATAAATGAAAATATAAATAACTGTTAGGCCTTGGACTTTCACTTTTGCTTTAAGTACATTTTGCTGATACTAGGTCTGCACTTCTACTTAATATTCTGAATTCAGAATTCTTGATGTGATGGAGTATTTTTACATTGACTTTTAACTACTTTTACTTTAATTAGAGATTGAATACTTGGTCCAGCCCCCATAACTATTATAAGTTTGTGTAAAAAGCAGGCTTTCACGTCCTTCACTTCCTCTGGCCTCTGTGTGTTTAAATCTGCCCTCTAGTGGCTTGTGATGATATAGCAAACTATCTGCACTGTGTGCACTTTTGGCCACAATCTTAAAAAGCAGTTGAAAGATTTGGCCACATATATGATTGGCTTGTTGTGCCAGTGTGTATTTCTTTTCCTTCTATGTGTATGTATTTGCTATATCTTGTATCTTGTACTTGTGTGTTTATGCTGTTTATGTCAACCTGCCTCGTTCTTTCTTTATCCTTGCATTTGTTTTGTTTTCTTTTCCTCTTGCTCCCTTTTCTTCGCCTGTCTGTTTATCTCTCCTTGCTCTCTCAGAGAGAGCGGCGGGCCTGTGCTGCCGCTTGATTGGCAGCTGCAAGCGGGGCATGCCTAAGCTGGCCGACTTATCAGTGAAGACCAAGGATGTGTGGGAGATTCCCCGTGAATCCCTCCAGCTGATTAAGAAACTGGGCAATGGCCAGTTTGGAGAAGTCTGGATGGGTAGGAGTGGTGGGACTGTGTTTGTGGGGGAGAGGGGAGGTAACAGCGGCAGCACACCTGGATTTAAAAAAGTTAAACCAGCTACAGATATAAGTATTATACATGTACTTCATGGTTATGTTTAGTTTACACAAACATCAGTAAACAGTTCCAGGACACCTGCACCTTATAAACATACACTATAAAGCCCTGTATATTACTGTGTTGTTCACAGTGTTTATGACAATTATACCTGTAGCTTAGACCTTATAGACTTACTTTATCAACACACAAATGTAGTCCGGACTAGAGTTTGATTGAAAACTGCAGCAGTGAAACTGGTCTTTGAAAGATGCCTGTTTGTGAAAATGATTACACAGAGGCATCTGGTAATGAACAAAAATAGGACTGTGTTTTATATTCAGATGTGTAGCTGTTCCTCTCCTTCCCTGTTAATGCATGTGCATGTGTCATCATCTCACCCGTTTGTCACCCCCACCCATCTTTCTTCCATATTTCCACCATCACTACACCCTTTTGCATCCACTCCCCCCATGCTCCCACTCTTTCATTTCCTTTTCCTACATCTCCACCCTAACTCCTCCACAATTAGGCACTAATGATGGGCTGTGTTATTACCTGACCACGCCCTGTCCTACTGCCACCCCACTCACCATGGGCCTTGGCCGAGATGCCTGGGAGGTGTCCAGGGAAACACTTAACCTGCAAAAGAAGCTGGGACAAGGCTGCTTTGGGGACGTGTGGATGGGTGAGACTGATATTGCTAACTTCTGACACCCTCTACAAGCTTAGCTGGAACATTATCCTCCTTAGTGTCTGTTACTGTCCTGTAGCAAAAGATTGTTGTTAATGCCAAATATCTGGCTCTGGCTGGCCATTTTATTGTGAGTGTATGTAAGCAAAGTTGGTTTTTCCCAATAAACTGCATATTAGCCGGTATTCTCACAGGATGAGTTTGCAATTACACCTACAACCAATTTCTTGTCAAAGCTGTTATACAGTTTCTCTAACTAAATCCCAGTGTGTTGGGTCTCTGAGCTGTGCAGAGTTTCTTCCTGAAGACAGCCGAGCTCTGTGCCTGTCCATATAACTCAGGTGCTGCTGGTGTTGATGTAAGGCCAGTAAACTTCTTCCCCTCCCTCCTAACATTACTCTGTCACATGTCATGCATGCCCTCCAAAATAACAATCATCTGCATGCATCAGGAGTTTGACCATGTGTGTGTTCATTACAGCCTTCATATTGTGTGCCATGGTTTGCCATATTTGTATATGTATGTGTGGGTGTTTATATCCTCATACAGTATAAGTAGTACATCATGTGCAGCATATACAGCCATTCACTTGTCAGCATGCTAGAAAATTGGTGTGTAAGCTTGTGTGTGTGTGTGTTCTGTGTTTCCATTAACATCCCCTTGTCTTTATGCCAGGCATGTGGAACGGAACCACCAAGGTAGCGGTGAAGACTCTGAAGCCAGGAACTATGTCCCCCGAGGCCTTCCTGGAGGAGGCACAGATCATGAAGAGACTTCGCCATGACAAGCTGGTGCAGCTCTATGCCGTCGTGTCTGAGGAGCCCATCTACATTATCACCGAGTTCATGAGCCAAGGTATCAGGAGTAAACTGTGATGCCTGAGACATCAGGTAGACACAGGGTGAATTACTGCTGTTAGGTTAAAGCCTCATTGACTCTGAAAAGTGAGCTCCTTAGAAGTTGTACAAGGTTTTTTCCTTAAATAAATGTGTAGTTGATATAATGGCATTCAGGGTGCATTAAAATATGAATTCTGGTTATTGGTGGGCCAAATGGTAGTTTTGTTTTATTTAATTATGTGTAGTAGATCATGTGAAAATAAAGAATATTTTCAGAAATGTCAATAGTTTGTACTGAAATACAGTAAAAAGTTACAGAACCTGCACCAATATTATTAATTTGTTACTACGCCCTGCTTTAATGTTCAGACAAAATGGTACTTTTTTTTTTAGATATCCTGCTCAGTACCAGACAGTCAGGCAAATTAACAGGATCAAAAACAAGAACCTAAATAGTAAAGGCATTTACCTAACATGTTAAAAATGTGGCAGAGGGGGTGGTACATGGATCAGGGAGTCTTCAGCAATTAAAAATAAAAGGCCAAAGGTACCATACCTACCAGCTAGAAAAAACACTGAATTTCTACCACTCCCAGGAATTTTCATTCTTCCTCGAGGCAGGACCTTTGACCTCTTTGTGCAGATAATATACAGTGGGGCAAATAAGTATTTGATACACTGCCGATTTTTCAAGTTTTCCCACTTACAGAGAATGGACAGATCTGTAATTTTCATCGTAGGTACACCTAAACTGTGAGAGACAGAATCTACAAAAAAATTCCAGAAAATCACATTGTTAGATTTTTAAATAATTATTTCCATTTTATTGCATGAAAAAAGTATTTGATACAATAGAAAAATAGAACTTAATATTTGGTACTGAAACAGTTACAGAGGTCAGACGTTTCCTGTAGTTGTTGACCAGGTTTGCACACACTGCAGCAGGGATTTTGGCCCACTCCTCCACACAGATCTCCTCCATATCGTTCAGGTCTTGGGGCTGTCACTGGGCAACACAGAGTTTCAGCTTCCTCCATAGATTTTCTATTGGGTTCAGGTCTGGAGACTGGCTAGGCCACTCCAGGACCTTGGACCTTGAAATGCTTCTTATGGAGCCATTCCTTAGTTGCCCTGCCTGTGTGTTTGGGGTCATTGTCATGTTGGAAGACCCAGCCACGACCCATCTTCAATGCTCTTACTGAGGGAAGGAGGTTGTTGTCCAAAATCTCGTGATACATGGCCCCATCCATCCTCTTCTCAATACGGTGCAGTCGTCCTGTCCAGTGTGTGGACAGGTGTCTTTTATACAGGTAACAAGTTCAAACAGGTGCAATTAATACAGGCAATGAGTGGAGGATAGGAGGGCTTCTTAAAGACAAACTAACAGGTCTGTGAGAGCCAGAATTCTTCCTGGTTGGTAGGTGATCAAATACTTATGTCATGCAAAAAAAATGGAAATAAATTATTTAAAAATCTAACAATGTGATTTTCTGGAATTTTTTTGTAGATTCTGTCTCTCACAGTTGAGGTGTACCTACGATGAAAATTACAGAACTGTCCATTCTTTGTAAATGGGAAAACTTGAAAAATTGGCAGTGTATCAAATACTTATTTGCCCCACTGTATGTGCATATATGTGTTTGTACTGACGTGAACCCCCAGGCTCAGCAGGTAATGCACTGTGCTGCTCATGCCACTGGAGGCGGCTGCATGAAGTGGCGTATAGGCCTTCTTGTCCTTACAGTCGGCCTCAGCTCCACTGTCCACCAGTAACTTCACTACTTCCAGGTGACCTGAAACAGAGGAGAGAAAATGAGATGTTCTTGCTGGTTGGTAGGTGATCAAATACTTATTTCATGCAATAAAATGGAAATAAATTATTTAAAAATCTAACAATGTGATTTTCTGGAATTTTTTTGTAGATTCTGTCTCTCACAGTTGAGGTGTACCTATGATGAAAATTACAGATCTGTCCATTCTTTGTAAGTGGGAAAACTTGGAAAATCAGCAGTGTATCAAATACTTATTTGCCCCACTGTATTCTTCCAAAATTCACTTGAAGAAAGAGAGAGGCAAAAGTCAAAATTGAGGAGTGTTCATGTAAAAGAAACTAAAATATTTACTAAAATACATTACATTGCATGACTTTACAAGCAGCCGTCCAATAAGAATTCATATAAAAATACATCATGCATGCTCTGTGCCATACAGTGTTGTACATGGCAGCAGATGTGTGACGGCGGGCATACAGGGCATGTCATGATGCCACACTTTTTTTTTTCAGGGAGTTTGTTGGACTTCTTAAAAGATGGAGAGGGGCAGAGCCTGAAGCTGCCTCAGCTGGTGGACATGGCTGCACAGGTGAGTTAAAGACACAGACATACAGTAACAGGCAAAAAGTATCCAAGCTTGTTTTTGTCTGTTGTGTTTTACAGATTGCAGCTGGAATGGCGTACATTGAGAGGATGAATTACATCCATCGTGACCTGCGAGCAGCAAACATCCTAGTTGGAGACAATCTTGTGTGTAAGATTGCTGACTTTGGCCTGGCTAGGCTCATTGAGGACAATGAGTACACAGCTAGACAAGGTAATTGTTTATTTCAACTCATAAGTGTGTGTGCGTATATGTATACATACAGTATGTGGGTGTATGAGAGAGACAAGAGAAAGATACACTTGCACAATGTGATGATTAAAAGTGTCTGCCTCTGCCTCCATGCCTATATTTTTATACATAACTTCTCCTAATTATATGATTATTCATCTTCACTGTGTTGCTATGGTTTCAGGAGCGAAGTTCCCCATCAAGTGGACGGCTCCAGAAGCTGCGTTGTTTGGACGCTTTACCATCAAGTCAGATGTGTGGAGCTTTGGCATCCTACTAACTGAACTCATCACTAAGGGACGTGTGCCGTACCCAGGTACTGGAAGACTTCTATTTGTTTTGTATGTTTTAATGTATGTTGTTTTATTGCATGTTCTTAAGCATCAATCACAATATCTTCTTTCTTGCAAAATGTTATTGATAATTGCTCATTTTATCAAATAAAGATAATAATCAAAGATCACAACTTATGTTAGGTCAGAAGAATAATATCAGACAGATCAAATAACAGTAATAAATTCACCCTAATAAAATTAAATCCTAGAACAGATGACACTAATGATCAGGTCTGTTGCCAGTTTGTGGCTGTTTTAGAATTCAGTGAAGTTCTTTAAAGGCCTCATCTCTTTACACTGTGTTACGTTTCCCTTTAAAACTCAAAACATAAAGAGCCTAAGGGCTTTGATATTGAATGTGTTTAATAAATATATCATATATAGATGATTCCTGGTCTGTTATTTCTCTACTATTATTATTTTTTTCTACATTTTTTTTAATTCAGCTCTCTTTTTCTGAACCCTCACCCTCT